AGCAGCGCGGCTGGGGACGCGATGGCTCCCGCGCGGCTTCACAGGCAGCAGCATGGGGCTGATGCCCGACAGGTTCCACGGTCGCCGTGCAGCTGGGAGGGGAACGTGCTGTCGCTCGAGTCGACAGAACCTCCATTGCCGATGAATATTGGTGGGACGAGCGTGACTCACAGACGCCTTGATCGCTCCCGTCCACAGCTAAAGGCGGTTGATTTGTCGGCATTTGCGATCGCTCCCCATGCACCGGGCGAAGGTTGGATTTGTTGTCCTCCGTTCTTATATTACATTGGTTATCGCCCGCATTTATCTCATGGATGAACATTTTATTGCCATCGTTGGTATTGCTGTTAGCCTGGGTTACCACTTCGTCTCCCTCGGTACCCTTCGCCTTCTTCGTCTTTTGGTGTTTGTCGTAGATATTTGGATTGCAAACATGAGCCTCAGCGGCATCACCTACACCACGTGATAGTCTTGAGGCGTGCCTGTCATTAGGTCCAACATCACTTAAGTCAGCACAATTTCCAGATTGCTCTACAATCGAGTCGACTTCTTGTATCAACATTTTCTTCCTGGATTTCTCACTTCCAATGATACACTTCTCCACCTCGCCAATGTACTTTTTAGCCTGCACATTATTCGGCTCAAGCTGCAGCACCTGCTGGAAGTCCAGCCTGGCTTTGATCCAGTCCTTCGCCATCTGCCTGGCGATGCCTCTGCGCAGGAGTGCCTTGACGTTGTTGGGCTCTCTGCGCAGGACAGAGCCGCAGTCCATCAGCGCCGAGCCGTGCTTCTTCAGCTTCAGATTGGCCTGGGCGCGGTTGTTGTACGCCGCCACGGTCGGGCTGGCGTGAATGCTCCTCGTGTAGTAGACAGCTGCTCTGGCGAAGTCACCACTGCGGAAGTACTCGTTGCCCTTCTCTCTCTCCCTCAGCGCAAGGGCTGCTCTCTCCGGCTCGCTGAGCCCCTTCACGTCCGGCTGATCGTCGATGGCAGGGTCGTTCCGTTCCGGAAGCGTCGCAGGTTGCTGAGGTGTATCCGAGTCCTCCAACAGCTTCAGCTGCGCCTCCACATCGTACCGATCCCAGGCGGCATAGTCGTACGAAGAAATTCGGGCCGCTTTCGGGTCGGCCGGCTTCTGCTCTTCCCTCGCCGTGGTTAGCTGCACTGTGCCACGCACTGGAGGGAGCTGGCCATCGTTGCTGTCGATCTTCTCCGCATGGGCGGATTTGAGATCTGCGTCGACGATGGACACCTCACTCTTCCACTGTTCCAAGTCGGAGAGAAGCTCCTTCCTTGCCTGCGAATCCAGCGTTCGAATGGCGGTCGCGGGGTGCTCGGATCGCAGGAGTGGGCTGTTCGGCTTCAGACTTCTGAGCCTGTCTTCAGTGAAACGGCTGAGATCGGGGTACACTCCCTCCTGTCCCGACCGCAGTACGAGCAGGATCTTCTCTACGACTTTTGCGTCTTTGCAGTTCCCAACATATTTATAATCAAGTTGTTCTATATCTAAGCCGTGCTTCGCGCGCAATGACTCGGCTTTGGGCTCGTTTACCACCATCGCTAGGAACGTGGAACACTCGGGAACAAGTGCCTGTGAGATCACACAGGTACACGGAGATAGGCACCGTGCCGTCGCGGTCCTTTTCTACCTAACCAACCAAATCACCGGCTTGGCAAAAACATGGGACTTCTTGGCATGCCGAAAGGGCCACACAGCGGTGATCTGTTTTATGCGCCCCCACTTCCGGCAGCAGGCTGATTGCGGTAACGGGATGACCACATAACGTCGATCACTTCTCACCACACAGCACTGAAGGTTCTCTACAGCTCGCCAGCGAACCAACGAACGCCAGCATCAAACCCACGTTCACGCGAACTGCCCGCAATCGATCAAACATCGGTGGTAACGCCGAAACAGCTGCGCGCAATGCACAAAGGCGGATATTGGTAAGATCCAATCTTAATGTGGACGAATGGCTGAAACTACCACACCTTTCAAGAAGAGACTGGCACGAATAGAAGCCTATAACTGTCTTGAATAAACGGATCACAAAACTCAACGGTGTCCAAAACGGACGCTTTGTTTACGTCAAGTTCCATGCACAAGCCGCTGTGGTTGCTATGACAACTAAAAGCGCTGCCATATTTTCATGACGTGGAAAGTATTCCCTTTGAATGGATTAGCATGACAGTACGGACCACAGTGCGATTGAGACACTTTTTGCCTATTTGGAGCAGCTTGGCCACTACTTTTCCTGACCTGAAGCCTGCTTTAACGACTTGAATGTAAATAAGAGACAAATGCGTACAATTTTGACATGGGAAGTAACTTCCCGCGCTTTTACTTCAAATCCGGTTGCACAGACTAAGGAGTAACTAGGTAACATTTCGCCCGCAAACGTCTACTAGTTACGGGAAAATTTGAGATAAGGAGTGTTTCCATGTTCTACCAGGCACCCATCGGGTTCCATCAGCGCAGCTGCCTTTGCCATGGAAAAGACATTCACATCGAGCCGAAATGAATTTAAAAGATGCTCTGTCTCGTGGTAAAATAAATCGCGATGATCACAGAGGGACCGGCGCACGGCCAGACAAGATCAGTGAAGCGGAACATTTAGACCGAGAGCCAACCTGCAGTGGGATACCACTGAGCTCTGAAGCGATGCCAGCATATCAAGCGTGGAATTTGTACGTAGGGCAGACGTTGTACGCGTATGCGGGAAAATGAATGCA